ATACGCGTTGCTGTTGACGGGATAAAAAAATATAAAACATCCTGTTGTCACTGTCGTCGTGAACGAACGTCAAGCTGGATAATCCTATAAATCATCATTCTGCAAAATTTCTAAATTACACATTTCTTTAGGCTCCAAAGAGATTTAACGCAATCTTTTTACATTATTTTCGTTACTTTCAAAGGACTTAAATTAATTAAGCAAGTAATGATAAATTTATATGCAAAATTATTTTAAAAAATCCATTTAATTTATACTCCATTGTAAATTCTTCTCTGTTCCGTTAATTTGGAAAAGCGCAATTTGGGAACCGCTGCTTTACGGACGTTTGACGGACGTGCGGGTGATAATTATAATCCAAGGATTTGCTCATATTTGTTTCGCGGATAAAATCGTGGCTCGTCTGTAATCACGCTCATTATGCTGGCAATAAAAACAACATATGTCATCGGTCGCTACGATATCGCGGGTGGATATAATCATAATGATGCTACAGGGAGCCATGTGCGACACGATTGCGACAATTTTCAGCTGATTTAATCGGATATTCCGTTTGACATATTCATACATGTAAACGCTCGCTGGCGTGTTTCTGTAACAGCGCCTCTACGATCATATATTTTATTACAGCTATACATATATTTATAATTTACATTTTATCACATGTATATATACATGTATATATATATATATATATATATATATATATATATATAATTTTCTACATATATATAAAATTTAAATATATATATGTGTATAAATTTGCTTCAGGAAAAAATGTCGCAACTTTTGTGACGTAAATCAGATGCCAGATATACGAACATCGGTTTCGAGTGGTGAAAGGTAGAGGGATGGAGAGCAGGGAGTTTCCAGAAATCCCGACAAGGCAGGGCCATGATATTATCGTAGCTGATCTTTGATCCCAAGGGAGAGATATATCCCGAAATATTCGCTTGTCGATCGAGCTTGGTTGGATCCACGTCATAGTTACGCTTTCAATGGAAATTTGCCCATTTGACATAGCTGTAGCTTTCTACCATGTGACATCAAAAGTATCGTATACAGTTCACTATACTACATATAGTACATATCGCATGGAGTTCACTAAATCACGCGAATATGCAAGGAAATAATATAGAAGTTATACATTAGTTTATTAATACTGCCGTTGCATTTTTGCATTATTAGATAGCGTTTTCGATAATGACAAAAATATACACTATTTAATGGCTTGAATAAAAAGATATATGTATAAATGATAATATTATAAAATTAACTGTTAAAATTAATTATTCGTGGTTCTCGATAAATTTTAATCAGTATGTAAAAATATTTAATTTCTCTGTTAACAAAGGGAGAGCTTTAAACCAAAATTAAAAAATATACGCGTAATTATTAAATTGGAAAATGTCTAAGAGAGTATTGAAAAAAAATTATTTTATTAACTCATCCTAATTAAATTTTCAATATCGATCCGGTCTGTCAATTTAGTTTCAATCCTGATATATTTTCTCAGTTTTATGTTTTTTAATAAAGATAGATAAAGAGTTAATTCTATATGAATAAGATATTAAAACATTTTATAAGTCAATAGTGACTAATAGAATGTTTTAATATCGACTTATTCATATAGAGTAAACTCATTATTTTTTGAGCCTTTAAATAATTCCTAGAAACTGTTCATTGTAGGAAAATAACGGAGAAAAATAAATTTACATTGCGTACAAATATCTCATTCATATTTGAGAAATACTGCTGACTGTTGCGCGTACGTTGTCAGAAATCGCCATGTCGCGAATTTTATATTTGCACAAAGTACCGGAGTGTTCATTTTTAAGTGCGTCTCGAGTGGGACAACGCGACCGTTTCGATGGAAATTTTCGAGCGAGAACTGCTGCCATGAAGGAATGACATTACCGAGCTTGCTGGACTGTGTAAGGACGCCATCAACGCGAAAACAAGAGGCGTTTGCCCGGTCTCGTGAAAACTCTCCTTTCTCAGGAGAGGCGAACATCAATCTCTTCAATCGCGACTGCCGAATCGCTCTTCGGCAGTCGCGCAATAAACGGTACGTCGAAATAAATCGCGAAATATAACTCCGGCCGGTTTCTCGTCGACGCATCATTTGTACTGTATTGAAATTTTCATCCGTGCCACCAAAGTTTCTATAAATATTTCTCTTCTCGCTGAACCGATCCGTAGAATTGTGAGTGCCGCGGGCGATTTTCGTTAAAAAATTCATTGACGCACGGAGCAGTCCGACTCCGAGCAAGCGGTACGGTTTTAAAGACAGGCATCGCGCGTATCGATAGTAAACTAAATTTAGAAATAGCGACGCAGTCATGAAAGCAAATATTCTCCCGCTACTACTATCGCCAATGCATACCGATGTCTAACCAGTGCACGCTACGTTCCGCAATGGAAACGACTCGGGGTTTGAGCCAGCCACTAAATCCCCGTTGCTGGAGTTGCCATTTCGTCGATTTATCACATTCAAATACCGGCAACTCACATACACACACACACAAAATCATACAAACAGATAGTAGATATTTTTTCAACAGTGACCATTTTATCCTTTGAAGCGGTTTGTCATCGGATAATATACGTGTTTCTCGCAATGTATTTCAAATCACCGATTTGATCAGCGACTTAATGGAATTTTGATGCATTTATGGAATTAAAGCGAATGTATTTCGATGTATATGCACAATACTTGCGCGACGCGATTCTCCGTATGTTGCGTAAACTCCCGCATATACATTTGTTTGCCGAACACCTCGCTTCGTGCAGCACGTTCGAACATCCGAATAAAGCGGTAGTATTATACATATATTATACTGCGGTTACTAGTTGGTTACACTTCGAATATCAAAGAAACTTGAACTTGAATGATAGAGCTTAAATGAAAATTAATATTCTCACATTTGCATTACTGGATTAATGTTCACTGGAATAATTATAAAATAATTATTGATGCTATCTAATATCTATTTGCATGTACATTGATCCCAAATGATCCTTTGATTTTAATTTTTTAGTAACATAGATTCTTCCAAAATTCAAAATTTTTCTTAATTGAAATATTGAGAAGCAACAGAAAATTAAGGATCCTTTACGAGGTACATAATGTACCTACATAGCTGTAATTGTATAGTCAGCGTTTAATTTATAATATCATATATATTCCTGCATTTAAATTGATTGTAATCGAGAAATTCAGACGTTTTCGTCTACGAATAAAGCGCATCACAAAATTCGCATTATCGGGAAAAAAAATGAGATAAAATAAATTTAGGAATTTTGGAAACAATGCGACGACCGCGATAATTATTCAGATGTAAAATTCCTGAACATTTCACAATGTACGGATTTAAAATGGTACTCGCGATATTTCTCATTTATATTTTTCCCGTGTATAGTGTGCCACTATTTTCCCGATTGCACGTCAATGACGGGCCGTGGTGTGTGTCAGAAAGCGAAACGGAGCAAGTAAGATATGTCATATTTCACGCGCGGGGAAACTTGATCAGGTATTACGAACGTGCATTTACACGAAAGTGTCGTCGCAGACGCCGTAATCTAATAATTCGGGCTGGCAGGTCCCACCACGGCAGAAATTGCAATTTAATCCAATCCGCGGGCGTCTAAGTGGTAATTTCAAATCCAAATCCGCCGTCTATTTCGACGCCCGCGCCGCCCAGCCGTGAGCCAAAATAGAACGTGTACCGGTGTACGTGACAGTTTTTCAATCTACGGCATCTTGTTTGATTGAAAACGGCGGATTTTGCTGCCGAACGAGAATTTTAATATACCGACTACACAACTGCGATTCTCATAATACACTTCCGAGAGACAAAAGAAAAAATCTTCAGAATATGGAGCACATTGATTGAAGAAAAAGCTTCTCGCGACGCAAGACGATAAGAATTGCTATGATCAACGCAGACGTTGCTATTCGATATTTTTTACAAAAATGTCAATGGCTCTTAAATTTTCTCTTTAGTATCACATACATACAGATATGTACGTAAATGCGCGTACACAATATAGGTGTAATTATAAGAGTCGTGAATGAAATACAATGAAAACTAAATAGCGCTGCCCGTCGAAGAGAGGCGACTGCTACGATTTGCAATCTTATGAAATGAAAATGCAAATGAGAAGCATCTTGTCAAGGTTCTTTTTAATTAAAGAGGTACCGACGTCTTCGCATCGCTTCGGTCTGCATCACGCGGGTAAAAGCAATCCTCTATTTGCAAGATTGCGGTCACGAAATGTCTATTTCTTCAAAAGGTCTATTTTTCCTGCCTTTTTTTTTACATATTTAAATATTTTACACGCGGTTTTACCGTGATGATTTTCACGAAAGATTGTATAAAGCTGCTTTTATTCTTGTCACGAAACAAAGAAAAACTCGCCCTGAATATCATATCGCATACTTCAAATTACATATTCAATCTTATTATATCACCTATAACATCTCCTTAAATTTCCATTGTGAGGAAATATGACAGCGTCGTGGTAACTCCGATCATTAAGTTCGGTGAAGTCGTTCGGAACATATTTTCAAGTATAATTTCAAGTTCAGACGTGTAAGGGAAAGATTTATGTGACACAATATCTTTCTATGTTCCAAAGAGGGGGAGAAAGAGAGAGAGAGAGAGAGAGAGAAAGAGGGGAGAGAGAAAGGAAAGATAAGATCATACTCATATTATATTACGTGGCGAGCTGAGGGATCGTTGCTCACTGTCAAAGGATTCCAGAAATTTAATTAATTTCTCAGAAATAGGTCACTCGCTCAATGATTCGACTAAATCATTTTTATCCAGAATTTCACGGAGATGTCACAAGATCGATGAACAATGGTATAATTTTGTATGTCCTACGTTTATACGCAGCTTGAAAGGAATATAAATATATCCGTCAAAATTAAGAATTAGAGGAAGACATGCCATATTATAATAAGTATTACGTAATTAAATTATAAAATACTATAATTGATTTTGCAAAATATTATATAATTTTCCCCATAAAATTTTAGAAAGAATAATTTTTTTTTTGCGTTTAATCCGATAACTCGTAAGCCGCGTAATACTTTATTTTCGAATTAGTTGATTAAACGGGAATTAACATCGAAACAAAGTGGGTGGGCTGCTCAAGCTGTATACCACGTAAACGTAGAGCACGAAAACTGCGGCGAACGTAGCCAATGTAAATACGGCTGTTTGGTATCCTGCAAACGAAGAGAAAATACTCCGGTAAGGTGGGCGGCGTTGCATTTCGTGGTTTACTGCATTTAACGGATCGGCGTAATTACGAGTAAACGCGTGCATCAATTTAATATAAATTCTCTATCGACAAACACGAGAAGGTATCTCGTATTATTAATTCTTTGTGATAAAAACGAGATGCGTGTTTGACGTGAATAATGCGATTTTATATAAATATACTATTTTCTCGCAAATACATTTCTCTGGTGTAATACGGAGTAATGGCCGCCTTCTTTGTGAGATATCTGTTGACGACAAAGCGTCCCGAAATTGACGTTCATAATCTCACTTTCGTTTTTCTCCTCATCAAGCTCGGATCTTTCAGCTGCCTCCGCCAACCTATCCTCTTGCGTTCCGTCGACCGTCGCAGTCTGTAACGAGGAGTTTTCCACACCATCTGGCACTTCTGATTTTATCGTCTCAGAATCGACAGTCTGATACCTGATCGACTCTGCAGAAACATACGGAACATTTCAGACGAGTCGCTTCCCCTTTGTCCGATTCTAATTGCCGTAAATCTATCGAAATTAATCGTGCGCAATTATATAGAAATTTATCGATAGAGAGAACTAAAGATTTATATCCGATTTTTCGAAGTTGACATGTCTGCCGGACACATTTCTATTTGCGACATTTTATCATTAATAATAGAGTATTAATTTATAGATAGATATATAGTTAATAATTAATTGTTTACGCTGTTTTTTTCCTCACAATTTTCTAAATGCAAACCTAAAAGGCTTAAATCATTTTGACAAATTTCGCGGATCGAGAAAAGTAATGTATATCTAATAGACAATCTTTCCGACTGCTTGAGGAGTTTCCAACTCCTCGAAATTGCGGTCGGCCAGAGTTCGAAGTCAGCTCGTAGGTAATCGATGGACAGACCGCGATTAACCCGCATAAATACAGAGAAATTGCACCTCGGATTTACCTTCGTCCATCATGCCGGCAATCAGAACAATCGAATCGAGACCATCAGGGCCGTCTGTGGCGCGCTTTTTTGTGACCAAACTGCTCGATAGTATCGCATTGATACGAAATCACGTCGCAGACTTAGCTTGATCTTCTCATTGCGATATAACGGCGTGGCTGGAAGACTGCGAAAAGTTTGTTCAGGACGACTTCGCGGTAAGCGACTTCGTGCGTTTCTCCCTCGTTTCTTTTTCTCTCCACTTTAGGACGGGGAAGTGACCCAGAATCCCCAATTGGGTTGCCCTTAATTACTTGGGTAGTTGGCAAATTTACCCTTGCGACTCCGTCGCTCACCCCCGTAATCCGTCGTTAAGTGGAGAGGTATTTCTTTCGTATCTGCTTGTTTTTTACGGGGGGCTCGGAACCGGCTGGAATCGGCTTCACGTGCATCGAATCGGCTTCGGACAAGGATGTAATTAGGAACGCGGAGAAAATAAAACGATATGTTGTCTGAGAGAAAACTGACGCCAAGTGAAAAAGAGAGCTTTCGCGAGCCGAGAGCAAAGTAAGCGGTCGAAGTAGTTCTAAATTCACGTTTCAATTGAGAAATCAATACGTACTTAATTACGGACTGAATTGTCATTCATTGATTTTCTATTTATAAGATAAGCCGTCAGAAATAGAATGCAGAAATATCTCCTCTAGATTCAAAGGTACGAAAAAATATGTAGAACATTTGGAATTTTAAATATCTCTAACCATTTTTTTATGTAAATTGAATATAAAATAACACATCCTAATAATACATTCCTTGTTTAACTTTCTCTATTCAAATCTAAAATGAAAAAATCATATTCCATAATAACATTTGCATATATATTCTTTCTAATTTCACCTGCTACATGCAAGAGATAGAAATGTGTAATTTTATTAAAAGGAACATAAAAAATTTTAATAACTTTGTAATAAAATGATATTAGGGAATAAATGAATTTGATTTATATCATATTCTCAAAAAGTTATTTAAATTATATTCTGTATATTCTTTCGTCTCTTCAAATCTATTTCGATACTTATATATCTTCAAATCTAATAAAGATATTCATGTGTATCTATCTTTAATGATTATAGTAATTATATTTATGCTATTATAGTAATTATCAAATGTATTCATTTGAAAAGAAATAAATACCGCGAATTAATTTAAACGAGATATATAAAATAAAATAAAATGTCGCGAATCAAAGATATTTATCACAAAAAAATAGTTGATATATAAAAATTAAAAATTATTAGTATTATTAATATTTTTAAAAAGTACATTATATATTATGTACTTTTTTAAAAATATAAAAAACCTATTAACAGCAACCATAAATAAATAATTAAGTTCAATTCGTCGAAACTAAATTAAACAAATTAATTAAGGAAAGTTATCCGAGATTGGGAAAGCTTCCATCGTTCATTATGTCGAAGAGTCTTACTTGGCCGCCGCGGGCTATCGAAGCGGAGGGAATACCAAATTAGCGTTAAACGTTAATTTTCGCTTCGGCTTTTTGTCGGCGAGCTTTAGATCACGTCTTAACTCTCACGAAACTCCGTATCTAGGATTTCCCGAGGCGCGCGTTGACTCCCGGCTCTCGTTTCCTGAGCGTCAACGGACAATTCTGGAACATCAGCTTGCCGAGGCTGGACAAGTGTCTCGGGGGCTGTCGTCGTTGCTTGCGGGATTTCAGCGGGATCCTTTTGCGCAACTGCGACCGGTTCCTCGAGAGCGGCTTCTCGCTCGCCCAGATGTTTATTTCCGGATGCGTGACGCGTTACATCGTCCGGATTTCCGGGCAAATCTGGGACCACGTCAACGTCTGATGAAACTGTCGTTTCTCTGATCTTTTTCGGCTCGGTACTCTCCCTTTGTTTATGTGGGTTCCCTAATCCCCCGGTAAAATAATAGTTGTACGCTTTGATTCACTCAGGGATTGTGTGGAACAATATTTTCGCATCAATAAATATCACTTGATTCGAGAGATCGCGCGCGAAGCTAAAATAGGAGTAAGGTGTACCTGAGGCGCGTTCGGCCTCGAGTTGCCTAGCCTTCAGAAAAGCATCTCTTTTGCAATTGTCCTCTTTGGTACATCCAATAATAGGCATCGTATTATTGGTATTAGTGAAGTAATTTTGAAAGTGTACTATCTAAAGCAACAAAAATACGGATGTATAATAATGAGCATACATCAAAATATCTCGGAAAGATTGTCATTTTATAATATAAAATATTTGATCATTTACAAATCTTGCAAAAAAGGTAAAATAGCTATTTATTATTTTGAGATAATATTTCGTCCTGGGAAAATTTTACATTGATTAAATCTTTCTATTTGTCATATACGATTAATAAATTATTAATTTTTAAATCAATTTGTTTTTACAAAAATTTTCTTTTGTGATCTTTTTCGAACTTATCTTTTCTTTGTTGATCCTTCAATATTTCTATAATTTTTACGATAATCGCAACCCTTCGGAAAAAACTTTTTGACAGCCTTTAGTTTAATGTAAATAAAAATAAATAAATAATACAATATAATATATACGTACAATAATAAAAGTAATGTAGTGGACTATGCGTTATGTATCTTTTCAGTGTAAATATATTTAAGTTAAGCCGTATTCTCTCTCATGAGATTTAGCTGAGCTTATGAAAACAAAGGATAATGAAGCTCTAATCTGTAATATAACAAAACTGAATTTGTGAAAGTTACAACCTGTATTTCATACCCTGACTATCTTGTCGAATAAATATTACGTAATTTTAACACAACGGCAGAATTTTTTTATTATTATAATAAACTGGGAAAAAAGAGCATATTCGAAATCTATATATATTACCTATATTGGTTTTAAACAATTTATATAATATTTTAAATAATTCGGAACGCGGAAATGAAAAAATACTTTTTTGGGACAGTTGACACATAAAATCGTAATTTGAGAGCTAAGATTTAGTGAGAAAGCATAAAAGGGGAGGATAGAAAGGAATGCTATTGTCGAGCGAGGGAGACTTCGATTAAACGTCAGGGAAATCAGTCGCGCAGTTTTTTTATCACGTTCAAGTGAAAGAGGGACGTCACGGGGCGAGATTTCGATCGTTACGCACGATTAATGTCGGATCTTCAGTCAAGCCAGAATTGCGGCAGCGAGAATCGCAAGCAAAACTCTCAAGCACGTCCTTAGCGTGTACTTCGGACGAAACGAGTTCCGACGCAGGTGAGGGTCCTCCGGTCGTTTCACGGTTCGTCTCTCTCTCTTTCTCCTCCCTTCCCCCCGTTCCGTCATTCCAAATGCGCGATTTTTATCCCAAAAGAGCGTTATCCCGGCGTCTTCAAATCCGACAACCTCTTTTGCGGGAAGATCGAAAAGTTTCGAGGGGGTCGCGCACATTTCACGTTTCACATCCGCGGCAAAAACGCACGTACGGAAAAATATATCTTCGAAGAAAGCACCGCGCGTATAATTTTTAGTGACAACCACACGTGACGCGACTTTTTCGCTTTAATTCTTTTTGCGCGACTTGTACGAGAATTGCACTTACTTAACAATTGAACGCAGATTAATTTCAACAAATGGTATATAGTAGGAAATAGCTAATTCTTATAACTGTTGGTTACAATTTTTCACTTTTCAACTTTAACAATTTAGAATTATACCTAAAAAAAAATTCAACAAATTTTTGGACCAAACTTTTCATGAACTGTCAATCTGGACGACGTTTTTCTTTTGATTAATAATTTTTGTTTTAAATTACGACAAATTTCAGCCGAATATCTTATGAATATATACGGTGACTTGCGTATTAATTCTTGTGAATTTACGTCGACCGTATTTCTCCGATTTTGAGATTTATTAATCTAATATGAATACACTGTATTCAATTTAAACACGAGATAGAAATTAGAGTGCGACATTTAATGCTAATTGTGTGGACAGACTACGCGCTAGAGTCTATGGAGAGATTCCATCGAAACGTAACACTGCCGCAATTTGTATAATGAATGAACTGCGAACTTTCTGCTTTCGCGTCGTATAATAGAAAGTGGGGTTGCTCTAATCTCACTCCATTCATTAATTAATGTGATTTGATTTGCGTTTGCATTTGCGTTTGCGAATGTTCAAAGTTAACGATTTGCAGCTTTGTGCACATAGTAGGAGGTAATCAATCGAAGCCACGGCGCAGCGCAGCGCTGCGATGATCGAGACTGCCATCGGCCAATGCAAAATACACGCCCGTTGCGCGACCACAATCGATTAATCATTAATTAATTAACTATTACCATTACGATCACTCAAACGGAATAATGCGTGAGATAGCCGTCACGGCTCCTGCAAACGGAAATTCGATCGGTCGATCTTTTTCTTTTTTTTTTTTTTTTTTTAATTGGCTAATTTCCGCCAATTTTAACATTAAAAACGCAAAATCAATTTGCCTATAGAAGAATATATTGTTATTACGGTCGTATAAATAAATTCGTCGATTAATTTTGATTAACAGCGTATCTTCTCTAATAGGGAAACAAGATAATTATTATGCGTATTCTGACAATGAAGCGGAATGCACATGTGAGAATGAATTTAACGTTACTTCCATCAGACTGACGCTAAGCGTATTAATACTTATTATGATAGAAACGTACATTCAAAGGCCAGCACGGGTCACTTATTCGTACAATACGCATCAATTATATTTAACAAAATATTTTAATAATTGCTCGCTTCATTGCAATTAATAAATTATACTCAAGAGAAATTACATCTCGTTTTCCGAGATAATAACAGGTCTCGTAAATCGTTTCTCGTAAGAAAAGTTCGCAGTACACTTCATCCCCATTGCCGTTGATAAAATTGCCTTTCCGTACAATATCCGAGCTTTTATTTTAATAAGTTAGAGTAATTAATGCCCCTTATCTCATTTATAAATATATTTCCTGGAAATCATTTTACAATGGAAATTACGCCGTTACGGTTTTATGAACCGTGCCGTTCTTTCATTAGCCGTACGTAGGTTGTTCTCCATCAAAGAAAAGGTTAATGTGCCCATCCATTAAGCTGAAAGCTCTGCGAATGCCGATATTCTCTTCGTGGCGCGCGGTCTCGTGAATATTATTAAAATAAGAGAAAATAAAGTAGCAATTGTGCGGATCGCGCGTCACTAATTGTAAGCCTACTATATTATATAAAGTAATTTACATAACCGGTATTCGCTGGACCTCTATAAATATGCATTGATTTAAAAAAAACTTGCTGCAAATATTTCGAAATGTAAAACGATTATTGATAAAATACGATAAAGAAGGTTCTATATCATCTTTAAAAAAATATATAGCAAATAATATGACTGTTAATTTTCTCATGTTAGCCTGGTTTGCGTGCGTATTTTATATACTTGCCTACTCGTGATTTTCTCGAGAGACAAGAATGAATATCGGTCGCGTCGATCGCTGATGGATTAACGGGCGAGTATTCTTTTTTTTTTTTTACCTGACGCGGGAAACGTCGTTGCGTTTATTTGAGCAAAGCACGACCGCCATGGAACGCCAAAGCGGGTGCACGAAAATCCGATAGAGTTTAACGCGCGCGAGGAGTTTTAACGTCGTTTTCCGGCCGGCCGCGTCAACCCCGCGATTAACGTACCGCGCAATTTGGGGCAATGCATTAACCCTTAAGTATATGCGCACGCGGAACGCCGGCGACGACGTTTGCGCGATTTTAACGAAATTAACGCATCGAAAATTGTCGTCGGGATTGCGCAACGTACGCGAGAGAGATACTCTTCATTTAAGCGACACTTGCCGCTCGCTAAAGATATTTCGAGGGTTCTATAGTTCGTCGGGTCTACAGTATATACCTTCGTCGTAATGAAAGCAGTTGAATGAGGATCTGGAAACTTGAGAGTATTTGCTCCGAGGTGTGTTCTACCCGCAAACGTTGTCTATGAGCCTTTCATAATATATACTTTAAATAACATCACCACATTTTCATTTATATCTCGTTTGTACGGCATATATCTACATCGACGTTATTGACCGCTAATTTGAATGTACATTCTCGTATGATCGCGTAATTCGAAGAGGTGTGCTCCATAATAAGATCGATAAGCGTGCTCGACGAACGGGAATGCATAGCCTATCGATGTTTGGCCGTTGACTATGTGAGCGTGGGTAACTACGTATCGAAGGAGTTAATGAGGATGCAGAGCCACGGACCCGCACAAAGGAATATTCATAAGCAGGACGTTGTATCACGGTCATGCAATAAATGCTGAATTATCGGGCGACATGGGTTTGCCGAGGCGGCCGACCGACGCTCTCGGGGCGTCCCGCAAACGCATGGTGTTTAGGACGCGCCGCAAATGCGGAGACACCATTTAGCGACGCGATATCGCCCAACATCGCCGCGCATCTCAGGCCCGATTAATGTAGAGGATTAACTTCGAGATAATTCTCCGTATATGTGTGCACGCGCGCGTGTATTGGCCGCGTCCCGTCGATTACGGGCAACGGGAAACAAACGTGCAAACGGTAC